CATCAGGCACGTCGCCTGCAAGGGGGGGGGGGGGGCCTGGTGGGGCCGGGTCGGGGCCCCCTTGGCAAGCAATTCCCCCCCCCCCAACAGCAAAAAACAAACCATTTTTTTTGTATTTTTTATGGTAGTGGGCCCCCTAGTTGGTACTATGCCCCCCCCCCTCCCCCGATGCTCGGGGCTGGCGACAGCGCTGATATCCATATGAACCCAGGACATTTGTGAAATCAGAGAATTAAACAAGCCATTATACTGGTACATGAACGTACCATAAAAAAAGAAAAAGCTCAGGAAAAATTGGGTTGGATAGGCGTAATTAAAGACTTGTGATGAGGTATTAAGTGATTAATCTTTGAAATGATTGTGTGATAAGCACCATTGATACATCGATATTACTTGATTATTCTATATTATTTTGATATCGATATCGCCGATGGCAATTTTTTATTTATATTGAAATATCAAATGCAACAATGCATATAGATATGGATGGAACTTTTTTTGAAAGACAGCTGTACTCTTAGTTCCAAATAGTAAAACATGAATCCACCTACGGACGGTACATGTACCATAATGACAAGGAAGCCATTTTTGGTCGTGTTCCCTGAATGTATTTTATAAATAGTAAACTGTTGAATGGGATGGTGCCAGACTATGCATGCCAAGCCTCACTTTCAATTTTTTTTAAATGTGGCTTAAAATTAACATTAAGATATGTTTAACCACAAATTTTAAATTATTCATCAAAGCAGACTGGTTTTAATTTGTAATTAACTTGCTTTCATTTCTATTCGCAGGTTTCAAAATGAAGATTTTACCACGCTTTCAATTTAATATGGCCGACACCTGAATTTATAAAGCCTATTGGACTGAAACTGAGGACAAAACAATTTTGGAGCAAAATTCATTAATTGCATGGATGAATTTTTTTCTTCTAGTTTCCACTATCTTAAACTAAAATGAAAGTGATTGTCTTTCTAAATCGCCTGGTCATTAGTTTCATGTTTTGGAAATAAGAGAGTACCTCCCATTGACTTTAATATACCTGTTCCTTAGATTTACTTTCATGTGCCTTTTTATTATCAGTTAAAAGGTGCTAAAATTAACTTTAATGTACTCTACTACCTTATATCCTTCACTGCAGGATGATTAAACAAAATTAAACAAATAAAAATAAAAATGCTACACTCCTACATATCTGGAAAAATCATTTTTATAGCATTACTTGAGTGTGTTGCACTGCGTCACAGGCTAATTTGCAACCTACACATTTGCGCTATTTTTGTATGTACACACACAAAATATGACAAGACAGGGTGTAGAGAGCACTCGAGCAGACCAAAGCGCTAAGGGTACGTTTCCCAGGTACGCATTTCCCAGGTTTTGCAATGTATGGCATGTTAACATGCCTTCGAAGACTCTTTTCTACTTTTTTTTTTTTACAGAACAAATTGAACGCACTGCACAGGGTATCAGTATTTGGTATCAGTTCTTAATTTCGTTCGAGATTTCCCCCATTGAAATGTATGCATTTCAGAGGCATTTTTCACATCAATGGCTATCGATCAGGTAGCTTGCTCTTTCTCTACATCAAAGTTCATTCCCACATCAATTGATGCTGCCTTATATACAAAGCAATGAGTTTGTACTTTGTTGCCCGGACTAAGGGGCATTTTGTAACCAAATGGCCCTTACCCCGGGCAGTTCAATAGGTGAGGGATCCCGTTCCCTTTGGGTGGTTGGCGTCGTTATGAAACACAGAAACTCAATCCCTCTAGGCCCCCGTCATTCTTCTGCAAACTTCCCACGGATTTCGGTAACGGGATACCTGGATCTTTTCAGGCCTATGAATGACCAATCCTGAAGAAGTAGCTCTAAGACCCATGACGGGGGAATTCAACGCGAGCAAGACAAGCAGAAGCAGGAAAGACTTTATGGCAATCAAAACAGATCCAAACAGTTTAAGCCTGTTTGCGTCTTCTTATGTGTCATGAATGCCCTTTTTAATGGGACAAGTCCAGATTTCCAATCATAAAACATTAAAGTCTAATATTTAGAAGCTGCTGCCTCCAGAACATCAGTACCAAACCTGTTCTGCATGTATCCTACATGGGATCTCCCGATTTGAATCTTTTTCCCCCCGAGGGAATAAAAGCCACAAAACCCATAAATGCTAGTTGGCAATGAATCATGAAACTCCAAGTTTTAGATGCTCCTGCCTCCAGAACATCACTTACCAAAACTATTCTATATTTTATGTACCCTACCGGTACATGATATGGGAGCTCGCAATTTGTGTCTCTTTCCCCTGAGGGATAGAAGCCACAAAACCCATGTTGGCAATGAATCATGCTTGATGTGACATTATAATAAGCAACATTTTTGTACACAAGCTGAGAAATGGCAAGCATGGATCATAAAGGGTGAGACATGTACTTCTGTATAGAGCTTTAAGGTTTTGCAAATCCAAAAAAACCACAACTTAGAATGAGTGCACCTTATTACTGATTAGGGTCTGGTTTTTTTTATTTTATAAAATGCAGACAAAAAATTCTTGCATTTTTTTTTTTAAGAGTATATATCATTTGTCATTAGTGCATTTGTTTTGCTTGAAGCAACAAAAGTGCTCAAAATCTAAAGAAGGGTGCTTAACAACTAACCTCATGAAATTTTAGCTTAGTGAATGCTGTATACCGGTATATGTATATTCCTAGAATAGAATCTCGATTTCAATTCAAAAGATGCAGAGTCATGTTTTGAATTGCGTCCAAAATCAGCGTCTGGGACAAGTTCTCATTCAGCCGATTGCAGCTATGTGATGTCACACAATGAACCATCAAATTATAGCAACCGCGCGCATGTGTGTGTCATGTCAATGCTTCTGCACACCCATTCACGGCTTCGCTGAATTAAAAACAAACTACCGACGGAGATTTTCAAAAATACGTCTTTAGAAGCATCTTTGGAAATGACCTTCTTTTATTGTTTTCTTCAAAATGACAGCATGCCAGAAAGAATAATTTCACAGGGAGTTTAGTGCCATCCGTATCTTTGAACCAAGTGTGCTTTTCAACAATAATCTTGTCAGTAACTTTTTGGATAGCTGCAAATGATACACTCTACCTTTAAAGGACATTTGTTTTACTTCAACTTATTCAAGCTCTAGTACTTAGAGTCTGAAGTTAAACTCGGACTCAAGTAGGACCCCAAGCTAAGGCTGGCAATAATGGATTCCATGCAACTTGCAGGATCCAGACGTGGACCATGTGATTAAGTTTTAAACTACTACGTTTTCAAGGCTTGGCAGCTTCAAATGCAAGTCAAGTTTCCATCCAGACAAAGCATTCCACTGGGTGTTGAAACTACATACATGTATACATGTTTATAGGCCTAAATCTTTCTCCTGAAACCATCAGCCAATAAGCAAGTAAACGCAAGCCAGATTTTAGAAAAACAAATTTGGCAAACTCCACAGCACCACTAAGTAGGCCCATTAAAGCAGCAACAGGCAGTAGGCCTCGGTGCCTCCGCATAAATTTATCAAGTTCACTGCCCCTACCTGCCGTCTCTGGCTAAGAAACACACACATGTATACATACATGTATGTTCTGTGAGTTCGCACTTTCTAACCTCACTCGAAATTATAAGGTCCCATCATTTTATCCAGACAGGCAACAGTCCGTCCCAAATGGCCGCCGTCAAATAAGTCGTGCCAGGCATTTCAAGGTACAGTACACTGTACAAACATGGTAGAAACCACCATTTGCAATAATATGAGCTAGTCAATCCTGTAGGGTCATAAAAAATGGCAGGCAACTAATTCCTCATAATTGCTACTACAAAATTACCCAAAGGTACGTACATACTTTATTTATTTATTACCAAAGCAGTATTGAAACTGTTTTGCTTATAAACTGGGAATAATGAGGGAAGAAAATGTTAAACTCTGCTGAGCTGCGTACGGTATATGTAGATGTACACCAATAAGGTTGACCTGAATTAATATCAGGAATTTGTAAATTATCTTGTTTTGAAAAAGCAAAAAATATCTCCTCACATACAAGGCTACAAGATTAATAATTAATAATTAATTCACTATTATGTTTAAATACAGTGAATAGGCATATGTCTTGAGAGAAAAAAATTGCTTGTAGTGCACATTTGCCTTTGGCTTTTTTTTTTTTTTTTTTTTTTTTTAAGTTGCAGCACTTGAGAGATTGCCCTTGATTCAGATCACAAAATGTTAAAGGCTTTAATTGTTATACAAAACTTCACACATAATGTTCCTTACAAAGTTGAAAAGCACAGCAGCTTGCTATAAAAAAATTTCATAATGAAGTTGGTAACATGTATTCTGTAATTTCTGTTAAACTACTGTACAATTGTGCATTTTAAGAGATAAATGTTTATAAGCACAATATTTCTAAAGGCAAATACACGTAATCCAATGATGGACACCACATAGGGCCTACTGACAATGAAAAAAGGGGGGGGGAATTAAAGCTGTCTAGGAGCAGATATGTGTTATAGGCCTAACATTTTACAAATCATTAAATATAAATCAAAATAGAAAAGTACAAATGTCAGACCACAGACTTTACAACCACTCACACCCATATGTGTATACACAGACCGTAGTTGCACAAATAAAATCTTTTATGAAACAGCTTGGAGGAAAATGTATGTAATTATCCGACCTGAAAACATGTATGCATTTTCGAAATAGAGATTTAAACTGCACATTTGCATAATAAATGCACAATGCAAGAGAACACTGTATGCGTAATTAGAGTACCCTCTTTAGCTTAATTAGTTTCCCAGCAAGTTGAGTATCTGCTCACAATCAAATTACAATTGTTGACAATAGTCCACACTACTTTTGTATGCACATCATGCATGAACTCCGATTGTAATTACATCAGCTTTCAATGCACACATGAATAATTAAAGAAATGCAGTTAAAAACAAAAATGCTGTAATACAGCGAACAACCAATATCTTACCTTATGTGAAGAGCAGTTTCTGTTTGTTCTCACTTTGTAGCTCTCAAAACTGAATGACAATTAAGAGTATATGAGCATATTACATGCATGCCTTCGCTAGCTCTTCAGTAAGACTAGATAAACTATGTGATACGGGCAAGAACTGTCTTCTCTCATTAGTCATCTTTGGTGCCGACAAGCGCTGACTGCTCTCCAACAACGCATCCACTGACCCGCACACGGCACACTGTATCCAGAACCAGAGTATGGGCACTGTGATGTAGCCGATGAAACAAGAGAGTCTAAAAAACTACATGGAGAACAATCAATGCCACACAGCTCCAGCAAGCCGCAGAAGCCAATGGGGGAGGAGCATTATCCACACTGTCGCACTGTAATTGGAGGAGAACGCAGCCGGGCAATTAAAGCATCTGTCATAACCGCTCATAATTGAAGATGCCTCAGTTAGTATCAGCTTGCTTCTTCACACACGCACGCATGCACATCATCTCCCAGGGACCATTAAAATACAGACAGCTGGCCACCACTCAGTCACTGGGCTGGCTGTAAATCCCAGGCCAGCATATGTAAATTTACGCGGGGGTTTTTGATTGTCCAAAGGCAGTGTATACAGTGTCAGTAGAATTTTTACAGCGGTATCAAGAGTTCAGAACATATATAGGAGAGATATGGACAAGATAAAATATGGGGGATGAAGATAGATAAGGTGAGAGGTGGTACATAGCAGAGGTAATCTGTCATATTACCCATGGTTCCTTGCAATGATGAGTGGGTGGAGCCTTGGGGGTTGATTGGAGGTGGCACGTCATCAATGCGCAAGCCCTTTTGGATTGAGCGTGGGTTCATTATTGGCTGGGTGGGTAACTTGATCATGTACCTGCGTATTCAGTTTCGCCGTTCCAACGACCCTCTGTGCCCTGCTGGATTGACAGTGATGCAGTGATGATGAACAATATCGAGTACAATGGTGTGGCAGTTCATCTTCTTCTTTTTTTAAGTATGTCATATGTAACCTTCTTTTGCCTTCACTGATATGGTTGGATCTCACCTTTTGCATAAAGTCCTGGTTGTGTGACTCACACATTTAAGCTGATCTTAAACGGTAGAAAAAATATTAAATAGGCCATATCTGACAACCAAAACTGATAACACTCATGAGAGAAGAGTTCCAAAAAGTAATCAAAAATTGCATAAAAGTGCACCCCTCCAGAACCTTGGTTCATTAATGACATTTGACATTCATGGATCCGGAGAAACTACACTGTCAATCTTGAAACTAAATGTATGCCTTCTACAGGAAATTATCTGCATTGTGAGTAGGCCTACTCAAACCTTTCAGTATCTCAATTAGCCCTATTTAGAGGAGAATACACGCCAGAGGAGACTTTGAATTAGAATTAACAACATTAACCCTCCTGCAGTCTGAACAGCCACAGACAGTCCAAAAAAAATCAATCATCTTCCCCTGCCATGTCTAATACACAAGCAAGTCACCTACAGTCAGATCAGGGTACTGTGACTAGTCAACAGACAAAAGCAGGCTAAAAGTGGTAAGCACAGCTGGCTAATCACCTACAGTCAAAGCATATTGTATGAAGTGACATTTCCAGTCACAGCCACTCAATCCTGCTATAATTATGTAGGCTGGGAGCTCTTTACTGTTTAAAAACAGCCACTTGATGGATTTTGAGGAGGGTTTTAATGCAACATGTACTTCATCTATTCAACTTTTTTGAATGAGATGTTTCAATACTGCAGGATGATTTTCAGAGAATTGGTGACACCATTCATGTTACAAAAATTCACGTTATTATTTCACGTCTATTATTCAATATTAGGTTTTGCTCTTCACCGACATATATAAACACTGTATTCTCAGCCTGTGTTACCTCCCGAGTGAAAGTAAGAAAAAATCACTCGGGTAGGACTTGAAGGGCAAAACCTAATATTGATTTACCGTTTCTTCACCCCAACGCAAAGTCCATCTTATGAATATGTCTTGTATTCTTTTCCTCACTCCAAAAAAAAAAAATCAAACAACTGTTTCTACAACTTTTAAAAGCTTACTATTTCACCAATAGATTTCACATACATGCATATTATGGTGGATCTGACTTGGAAATGTGTAAATTACAGGAATAAAAAACATGCTTGGCCGGTTTTAATCAAGTACGTTTAAAACCAGCAAGGGGCCTGGACGCTGATAATGGCCCAATCCAAACATATTTATTCCCATTGGCAATGTACGTTTCGGTCAAAAAGTCAAAACAAGTCAAAAATGCACAATTTTCAAATGATTTTGTTCAACAATTTTACCTTTTACCTGTGAAAAACCTCTCTTGCCATTTCTTTGGTCTGTGTCTCACACGCGTAGTGCTAAAAATCTCCTTTAATGGAGATCGACGAGCACACGGTGTGTACTGCGCAATGTGGTGCAAAACGCAGCGGTGCAGGAATTACCGGTAAGTGTTTAAACCAGTTGGTGTTTTATCAGCAGTTTAAAATCACCCACGTGACGGGGTCTCGACCAATAGAAATGAGTAAACTGTCTTAGGTACAATGTATTTATGAAGAGTGGTTAAATGACTGACTGCTGCTAACTCTCACACAATGGTAAATTTATTCTGACACTCAAAAATCAATTTTTGTCAAAAATGCATATTTGTTTGTTTTTTTGCATACCAACAGTCAACAGACCTCAGAATAATCTATAATAGATGTTCAAGTTTGCAGTGGCATGCATGTAGTCAAATCTACATGAATGCTATCGCAAACCTAACATGAACTTTCCACCAAGCAAACCTTGAAGTCTTCAGAATGCTTCTACCATGGCTTCATTTTACAATCTAGCCAGAAGTGAATTCATAAAATTGACGACATCAGCAAATTTCCAATGAGCCATTTAAAATGTTGCCATGCTAACCTGATCATTTCTCATTATATGCATGCACTCATGTATGCACTGTGCCCAGAAGGGAAATGTGCCCAAAGTAGACAGGGTGAATTTCCTGCCCAACATGTATGTGGGTGTAAGGAGGTTGGCAAGAGGCTGGGCAAAACAGGGGAAGGGGAAGGTCTAGCAGTTGACTCACATAGAACGCCCCACACTGAAACAGGACCGTCAAAACTTTAAAGGGAGAGTATATCATTTGCAGCTATCCATAACCTAACTGACCAAATTATTGTTAAAAGGCTTACTTGGTTTAAAGGTAGAGTCCATCATTTGCAGCCATCCGAAAAGTAACTGGCGTAATTATTGTTGAAAAACTAACTTGGTTGAAAGATAGTAAGGAGACTAAACTCCCTGTGAAATTATTCTTTCTGGGAAGCTGTCATTTTGAAGTAATCAACGAAAGAAGGCATTTCCAATGGTGATTCTTAAGAAGCACCGTTGGAAAATTTAAATTAGTAGTTCGTTTTGTTATTCAGCGAAGCGCGCACAAGTATTCGAACGACGCACACGCGCGCGCGGTTGTTATAATTCGTCGGATCAGTGCGCGACGTCGCGTATAGTTGCAATTCAAAACAATTCAAAACATGATTCAGCAACTTTTGATTTGAAATTGAGATCTTAGAATGCTGTTTTTCTCGGAATGTACAGCTGAAGCTTAGCTGAAACTTCATCAGGTTAGTTGCTCAGTATCTTTCATTAGATTTTGAACTCTTTTGTTGCTTCAAACGAACAAAATGCACAAATTACAAATGATGGACTCTACCTTTAAAGATAGTTGTGGCTTTAAAGTCCCTGTGAAATTATGCCTTCTGGCATGCCACAATAAAAGAGCTCATTTTCAAAGATGAGTCAAGTGATGCCTTTTTGGAAATTTCCTGTTAATAGTTGGTTTGTAATTGGGCGAATCCGTGAATGGGTTCACACAAATGTTGACACTGCGCACACGCGGTTGTTATTATTCGTCGGTTCAGTGCGTGAAATCGCGTACCTCCAATCGGCTGAATGAGAACGTGTTCCTGATGCTGATTTCAGGGGCCATTCAAAATATTACTCGGCAACTTTTGAAATTGAATTGATATCGAGATCCTAGAATAGGCCTATTGTATTCTCTGAATATACAGCATTCACAGAGCTAAAACTTCATCAGGTTAGTTGTTAAGCATGCGTCTTTAGATTTTATTGTATTTTTAAAAATACATATGTACAGCTTTGAGAGATTTTACCCAAATGTCAAAATCCTTCAGTTACTCATATTTGACCCACTGCCCAGTTCTGTCTCAGTCATTTTGCAATTACACCCCTTTTTTTTAAACTAAAGTTTTACTGAAAAAAAAATTGGCTTTATTCTGACCTATCATCAGTGAAGCCATTATCAAACCTGACAACAGTTAATTGAAGCAAACAATCCTCTGAGATACACGTATATATGTATCATACAGGTTTTCCTGCCCACGGTCAATGCCACCACACAAATAGATTCCATAGATGCATGCTTTTTATCAGGACCGCCGGCCTGTCCCTAATTGACAACTCACGGAAACCAACGACAAGGCCCCTCCTGGTTCAAACCCCTTGGATTTAAGGCCCACACGCAATCACTGGCGGTGGCGATGCTGGGTGGTGATGATGACTATGATCACTGAAAGGAGGGAGGGGAGTGACTCGATCTATTATGAGACTGGCTGGCTTAATTGCCGTCGCGTGGATGTCTATGTGCCTTAATTGTACCCCAAAAGGTCAAACTATAAGTTTGGGCTAGTTTGGCTTGCGGAAAGCTGAAAGGGACTCAATTAGTTTTGCAGAGTACAGACAACATTTGAGAGGAGAAAACATTTCACGGGCCATTTTTAAAAGTACATCACAGGATTTGAATTTTTGTGCATTTTATTTCGTTTGAAGCAACAAAATTGTTCAAAAATCTTAATTACTGTAGGGTGCATTATCATGTGAATTAAGTTTCAGCTCCATGGATACTAAGAGAAAACAGAGAAAACCTACACCATGTATGCACAATTTTGATCTCTTAAGTGAATTGTGTCTGATTCAAAAGATGCCATTTCATATTTTGACCTACATCCTAATGATTCTCATTCAGCTGGTTAGTGCATATGTACAAGTACGTGACGGTCAAGGTCCCAGTGGATGGGTTATCCTTGCAGTATCCAATGAATATCCTCAAATTAAAAAAAAAGAGTGTGGCCGTGGGCCGCTAAATTAAATTTAATTTAATTTAATTAAAAAAACATGTACATGTAATCCCCATTTAATTATATCCAAAACTGATGACATATTCAATCATTCATACAACCATAAAGCTAAGACAAAAATTGCAATGGTAGCACATGTG